AGTTGCTCCGCTTGTTACACGCGTAGTAAGTAGACCGTTTACGTTAAATTACGATACCGAAGAACTCGAGAACATCATAAATTTTTGCTCTACCTAAAGTTGCTAGGTGCAAAGCCACTACCTTGCATTCCTGCATCATCCGCTCCATAAGCCCTGATATCTCTGCCACCATGTATATCGCGTAAAAAGAATCAATCGCAATTGGATGCACCGGGGGAATAGCAACAGAAAGAAATGTATGCTGCAAAAACTTGAAAGTGCCGGGTGGACACTATTCCATGTGACAAAGAAACGCAGAATTCATTGAAATGCGAGGTCATAGTTCATCCAGGAGTACCTTCGCGCATCGAGGACATTCCCATCCCGATAGCGTTGATCAAACAAATGGTGCAGGAGGTACAAACGCGAAAGGGTAAAGAAACTTGGGAGAAAACCAAATACACAAGAAATGAAAACAAACCCAATAGAAAGAAAAATATGTATACAAAGGAGAAACAAGAAAAAAAACAAGGTATTAATAATACATACCCCATGCTGCTCTTGACTGATAATATGTCTCGGATGCAAACGACAGGATCGGTGAGGAATTAAGCAAGCAGGCATGGTTGAACTATACCGGTATATGAGAATAGATGAAGTTTGAAAAAGGGTGGGTCCGCGCAAATGCTAGTCGGAACACGAAATCAAAACCCAAGTAGAGTGCAAGACAACGGAGGAACGTCCGCGTCGTCGAAACGATAAGAATCGTGGGTCAAATCGGCATTGATCATATCAGTTATCACCATTCTTTGTGGTGTCGTGGTTGCTCGGCGTCTCCTCAACTTCAGTTGAGAGCTTGACGCTATCGGCTTCATCATGCGTATTTTCAGGGACGATAACCTGCATATCAGGTTGCTCGTTCATATCATCAACGAGGTCCGTCTTCAATACGGGTGCGTTGGCATCCGTGGGAGAGACCGCCGCGCTGCTGGCTGTAGATTCTGACTCAGAGGGTGCAGACACAAACGGATCGTCTCCCACAGAACCCTCGTCATGGTTGTGCTCTTCAATGTCGTCTAGGTTCTTTGTTTCTATAGCGACATCCTCAGGGACAGTAGAGATGATTGACCGCTGGCACTCATCACGACCATCCGCAACAGGAGCCTCAACGCCTTCAGTAGGTGTAGGAATATTCCCTTGGAAGCCATTGGCGTGAGCAAACAAAGGGATAATTCCACCCCCGATGCGTGACCAGAACATTCTCTCCCTTAGTCGGATAGTTTCATCCCATGCATCCTTCTCCTCTTCCGCATCACCAATGCGAACATGGCCGTCAAGGATGAGACGGAGGTATCCAGTGAACTCGCAGCTGGAACGGACTCTCTCTAGACACAAAACACACAGAGGATACCGTTGAGCGGTCTCGCTATCGGACGTCCGGAATCGATGGGTCCTCTCGTTGGTGGGACCGTTTCTGCGCTCGCCACACATTGAACAAGGAAACTCATATTTCTTTGCTGAAGGCGGCATGGGTTCAACCAGGAGAGTTCCATCGCAGATCCCACTTAATACCGAGCGCCGCGTTAGCCACGAGATCCCGGGCGCAGCATCAAGCCGGAGGGTCGGTTCGATGTCTTCCGAAAGCACGCGCTTGTAGAAGCGGGTCTCTTTGAGAGGAATGTGGGAAGTCACGGGCTGTGGGGAAGACACGCTGCCATTGGGAGAATGTGTTTGAGATTTGGCGGGAGATGACGACGCTGAACCGAACCCACTAGCCAGACTCATGACATTCAAGCCAGCGTAAGACCCACTTGTGGCCCGACTGGCAGGCTTGGAAGCTCGAGATGTTGTGAAGAGTTCCCGAAAGTCCTCATAAGCTTGGATATCCGTTCGACAGACCGGCTTAATCAGATGGGGGAAACTAGTGGACGGCCCTGGAGTGAGCTCTTCTAATGTGGGGATTTCCTCTGGTATGTCGGGAATCTCAGAATTCTTGCTGACATGCAAAGGATGCCGCGGCATAGTTGGTGATGACGGAGCTGTTGATATAATTGTGCGAGTCTCGCTATCATCCTTGGCGAGGTTGAGTCCATGCAAAACAGATTTTAGCTCGGCCAATTGTTCTTGATGTGATGCAAGCAGTGCTTCGGTGTCTTTGACTTGAGAGCGTAGCTGCTCGTTTTTCTTCTCTACAGCCTCACGCTCAAGCTTGGCCGCGGCGACCATCTGTTCAAAAGGTAACAAGTCAGTTGGTCGACCCGACATACAATCGCATATGGAGCTTACCTTGTTGGCTTCTTCAAAAAGCGCGGCAGTTAATGTTTCTAATTCTTGTTCAATGCCCTTCTTCTCCTTTTCCACAAGGGCGCGCTGAGCCTTCTCTTCAGCCAATGCAGCTTGCAAGCGCAACATCTCATAATCCACGTCGGACTTCTTGATCAAAACTTCCTGATCAATGTCTTGCCGATACTTTTCATTTTCCAACTCCAGGGCTCGGATCTTGGCTTGTGCCTGCTCCAATTCCTGACGAGTGGCGACTAGGTTGTCATCGAGTGTCGTCTGATTGTTGATCGCCTGGACCAACTTGACGCTCAAAGCTGCGACTTCATTGCTCAAGTCGGGATGATGCGACTGTGTTGACTCTGACGTCTCCGAGTCTTCCGAGTGGCTCGCAAGTCTGGGATCTTTCAAGGTGCTAAAGCTAGTTTCCTGGAAGTTGCCAACACTGGACGAGCGGACGCCCGGTGTCGGCTTCGCAGTGACGGTTCCAGACAGGTCATTGGTGGACCTGGCTTTCGTGACGGTCTTGTCGGGGGCGAGAGAGTTGTTCTCGGAGGAATTCGACCGTTTGTGGCTGGTGGGACGTGGCAGCATGGTAGACGGGGATAGGAAATTGTGGCGAGAGTAATAAGTGTGGAAAGCAATAAAACTGTCACCGAAATTAGCAAACAAACACAGCATAGGCCAACTGCATTGGAGGGACGTGAATATACATACTCGGCCATGATGATCGTGAGATGTCGACACGGCAAATGCAGCAGAACAGGGTATCACAGCAGAAGGAGGCGCGTATCACAACCACGTATATAACGGACCGGCAACGCTTCGCATCTGCAAATCCTGGCAGAGACAAGGGCTGGTTGAGGATGTATGCATGGAAGGATTAAAGCAGGGGGGGGAAGCAGTAACGTGACGTCCCCGCCAGCGCGCAGACTGGAGAGGAATCAGCCAGTCGGAGAACGAAGCATTGAGTCGCAGAAAGGAGCGAGATGCAATTCGATAGAGAGCGAAAGTCGCTGAAAGAGGGGTATGAAGGAGAGGCGGCGATAAGTTGGGAAGGATAGACCGGAAGGATGACGATTAAACTGGAGGCGAGAGCCGGGTTGAGGGAGATAAAGGAAGGGAGAGAGACGTCTTAGCGGGTAATCAGTGGACGTAACCCCTCTTTCGTCAAGGCAGATGATGGAATTTAGTGGGAAGATTAGTGTAAGCTAATTAAATTAGTTTAAAAAAGAATTATAGATAGAAAAAGATGGTCAGCGACCGGGGGAAGAACAAATGAGGAGAATTAAGAAGAGGTCGAGGACGACCAGAGAGAGTAGCAGCAGAGACAAGAACAAGAACAAGAAGAGCACAGCACGACTGCAGGCAAGGCCGGAGTTGGTACGGCAAGTGGATTCAGGTCGCAACAGGCAGTCAGTAACAGTAACAGAGTATCATTTCCACTGTACGTCTGACTCGGTATCGCCGCCCTGCTTGCTGTATTTACGGTTCCGATACCGGCTCCACTCGGCAGTGAGCCAATCATCAATACGGAGGCAAACCACAGGCGCTTAGAGATTACCGTATCTGGAAGGTCGATCGCCTCCCGGCGCGTCTCCGGTGGTGGACAATCACAAGGGCCGGCGTGAAGCTTGGGGCTGGCTGCCATTCCATCCTTTGGTTCATCCCTCGGTGTGGATGAAGGGAAAAAGGCGGGGAAGAAGAAACTAACTATTACTACGTACTACAATCAAGTCTGACGGACTGTTCAAGTGTAACACGCCATTGCTAGATTACGTATGATATGATACTCTGTATGGATGGTGGAATCATTTTTTCCCAGCACTCGCGCCACGTTCTCATCCGGCTTAATGGTTCCCACTAGGTACGATCTCGATACGGACCCGATCTCGCAAGGGCCTCCGGAGACGGTGACTAGAGCCTCTTGGGAAATTTAAGAGAGCTCGTTCCAATTCATAAGCTTTCTCTCGACCTGCAAAAACTCTTCACACGCTTTTCAATAGTTTGGGCGCAAAGATCCATCCGATGCGGTTGGGTGCGACATTAGGGCGTTCTAATTTGGGGATAATCAGCCAATCTTTCTCCCAAAATCAGCCCGGATCTTCGGCGGTGGATGGTTTCTTTTGGCTCAAAAAGGCAGCTCTTCCTTGGCACACCTGATGACGACACTTGCAGTCACTGCGATCTTCCACTCTCCGACACAACGACACTCAACTTACTTTCTCCTGGAAGTTTATATCAGGGGTTTGTTGGCATTGCAGCCTCGGTCTGCAGTTTTGACTCTCAACAAGTCATCTGCATATAGTTTTGTATAAATGAAGAATAACAATTGTGTCTGAACATATTATGCATGCAATTGTGCTCTGCTGTATGTGTGTGTGTGTAATCTGTAATGAAATGGCCCAAGTGCCCAGCCACCCCAGTTCCAAACTAGTCTAGTACTGGTCTGCGGACTATTGATTGCCGGATCGGGCCAGGATGCCCGACGGCCTCATGGCGCCCCACTCCATGTGCCTGAGTGCCTGAGGCTCACAGGCATCCAGGCAAGGTGGGGTTGGAAAGTTCTCCAAAGATGGAATGCGTCGAATCATCCAGAGTCTAATCCTGGGATAATCTCCCCGCTTCGGCATCGGCCTGCAATTCATTCTGTCCGAGTTTCATCCCGTCAATTTTTACCCCGCATCACTCTTAGAATCCTCCTGGTCTTCGGATCTTGCATACACAACACATCAAACATCATGGCCGACGCAGAGCTTGAAGAGGTCAGTATGAAATCTTCCCACCTACATTTAACTTTCCCCGTCTTCATGGGTGTCCATGCGTGATGAATATCCGGATCCGCGCCTTCGACACTCTTCGTATCAAATGCTTAAATCTGGTATAGATCAGACGGGCCCGTCTTGCCCAGCTTCAGCAACAGGGTGGCGCACGTGGTGGTTCGTCGGACGGCAACCAGGAGGAACAGAGAAGGCATGATTCCCAGACGTTGTTTTTGCTTCTTCATTTGTAAATCCTTACTGACTTGTCGCTCCACTTTAGGCAAGCTGAAGGTATGCGCAAACTCATAACCGATTAGATTAGGGCATGCTGGAGGAATCTCTCTGCCTACATTACTCTCGAATAATTTGCTTATTCCTTTACGAATAGCCGACCGCCGCACCACTATCCTGAACCAGATCCTCGAGCCCGAAGCTGCCGATCGTTTGGGTCGCATCCGCCTTGTCAAGGAATCCCGCGCTGCTGACGTCGAGTCCCGTCTCATCATGCTCGCCCAGTCCGGCCAATTGCGCCAGAAGGTTACCGAGGAGCAGCTCAAGCAGCTGCTGAACGCTATGGCCGAGAACCAGCGTAAGGATGAGGAGGAGCACAAGATTGTGATCAACCGGCGCGGCGGCTGGGATGATGATGACGACCTGTTGGATCTGTGAGATGTGTTTTTAGCGAAGGGTGTTCAGTTTGTGCTGAATGCTTGCCATGTTCAATGATACCTCCAGCTCTCGGATTTCCACCTTCACGACCAGAGCAGCTTGCAGCTGAATTTCTGCTACGACAAAAGTACAGTTTTATCCAACTTGATAGTCCATCAACAGTTCCTCCACCGAGGACCTAATGATACTTGGCCGAGTAATCATTCAGGAAGTGGCCATTCCTCATATAATGATACAGAAATATAGCTTCCTCAACAGGAAGCAAGGAATATAATACATCTAATAATAAGCATACTGATCCCATCTGAAGCTATTGCCCCCTCTGCTCCATCAACTCCTTCTCCCTCTTCTTCTGCATCCGGATCATCCGCCTAATCTCCCTCATATCCGGCGGCCTCTCAATGCCCAACTCCGCCCTCAACTCCCCGACATCCTTCTCCAACACCTTCTCCCAATAAACATTAATCAACTCCTTACTCTGCAACCCACTCTTCAACGCCCACGGCAAATAAATTGAGAACAGCCGTTCCCTTTCCGCCGGCTTCAACCTCACCGACGCAAACAAACTCAACCCAGTCATGGGAATCAACGTATTCAGAAACTCAAACGCCTTGAGCGCTAGCTCGCCCTCCACGAAGATCGGCAATCCCGTCACAGCATGGTAGAAATCGTGGCACTCGCGGTACCGCTGCATGACGTACGCGCATTCCTCGTCGTCAATGTACTGCACATTGTCCCGGGTGTCCGGGGACACGCCTTCGCGGTCCAACCAGGTAGCGTAGGTCCGGCCGACGGTGTTCTCGGGGAGGGAGCGGAGGTATGGCAGTTTGAGGGTCTCGGAGGTGATGCGCGGACGATCGCGGAGGATCTGTCGGCCTGTTGGGTCGGAGAGCATGGCGTCGCGGAGCCGGTAGATGAAGTAGGGTGTTGCAGTGGCTTCGCCGCAGGCGGCGATTAGGTCTTTTATGATTTATTAGCTACAACGTAGTATACTAGGTATGAGGGAGGTATATGTACCAGCTCTTCGGGGGTTAAGAAGAGAACCCACAGCTGACCCAATGGCCAGAGCACCGCGCTCTACAAAGTTCAATGGCACATGGCCGGGATAGTTAGGCGGAGGACGGTTGAAGCCGGAGAAAGGCCGTGAGTGGGCGCGGAGCGACAGTGGTGCTGCGCAGGAGAGAATATTGTTTAGCTCGCGCGCGTGCTGAACGGCGCTGCGCGTCCGGAGGACTGTCATCGTGTGTCGAGTGAAGGGTAACACGTCGCAATGGACATGGTCCTTGGGCCGGATGGATGTAGATGAGGGTGTGGTACGATGGGATGCTTTCGGAGCCGGATGGCGCTAGTGGTGGATGTGCGGTGCCGTAGGGCTGATAAAGATCGATAAGATAATCTTTTTCTTTATCGGCGGTTTTTGGCGCATCTGATCGTCTCTGCTTGGATTGCCATTGAGGGATACAGAGGCATTGATATCGCTGAATGTACATTTCTTAGGGAATAATTACGCAAGTTCAAAGAGGGGAGCTTTGTTTGTCTTCAACCCTCCCATAAATACTTGTCATACCCCTCCTCATCCTTCAACCCCCTCCACACCAACCAACTTACCCCTCAATTGTCTAAACCGACTGTCAACATGAAGCCCACCTGGTGGCCCGGCGAGAAGCACGAGCTCTTCACAGAATGGGCTAAAACTCAAGGCATCGTTATCAATGGGGTCAGTCCAGCGCGATTCCCTGGCCGCGGTCTCGGTATGATCGCAACGCGAAAGATAGAAGTACATCCCCACGCTCATACCCCCTCAAACTCACATACACCAACTAACATTCATATGATACAACAGAAAGACTCCATCCTCGTCAAAGTCCCCCACTCCGCAATGCTCACGCCCTCCAAACTCCCATCTACCTTCACCTCGCGCTTCCCGTCAGACACACCAACCCACACTCTCTACGCCGCATACCTCACCAACGCCAGTCCCTCCCACATAACACCATGGCGCAACACCTGGCCCACAATGGAAGACTTTACCTCCAGCATGCCTATTCTCTGGTCTTCATCTTCCCCCCTATCATCCAGCAGCAACAGCAACACCAGCAAAATCCAGGACCTCCTCCCACCCTCCATCTCCAACACCTGGAGCACCATAACCCCCGGGAAACGGAAACACAAGTACGACACACGGCATCAGAACCTCCTCAAAGCACAAGAAACCCGTCTGCGCAAGGCCTGGGATATCGTTGTCCGGGTATTCCCCGAGACAGATAAAGAGCTGTTCACGTACCATTGGGTGATTGTGAACACGCGAAGCTTCTTTTATCTTCTGCCCGGGGCGGAAATGCCGGAGGATAGAAATGATGCGATGGCGTTGGTGCCGTTTGCGGATTATTTTAACCATTCGGATGTGGCGGTATATGCCTTCCCTTTCTATCTGTGTATGTTGGATGAGATCGGCTAACGTGAGATATGGTGGATGGATAGTGTAATGTCAAGTTCGACGGGGAGGAGTATGTCTTTCGTGCGGCGAAGGAGTATAGTACGTTCTTTACTTCTCTCTTATCATTTTTGCGAGAGGGAGATAGCGGTATACTCATAAATGATGTACAGATGAAGGCGAGGAAATCTACATGAGCTACGGCCCTCATTCGAACGATTTCCTGTTCACAGAATGTAAGGCCCCCATGCCCTACAATCCCACATCACCATCCATACCCCTAATCAACCCATCTAGACGGCTTCTACCTCGACACCAACGCCTCCGAAACCCTCTATCTCGACGAAATAATCCTGCAGGACCTGAACGCCTCAAAACAAGAAGAGCTCGAGTTCCACCAATACTACGGGTACGCCTGCCATTCACTTATCCATCACCACACACCACTAATGAAGCCATAACAAACACAGAAACTACCAACTCACATCCGACGGCGTATGTTACCGAACAGAAATCGCCGCCGGACTAACCTACATGCCACTACGACTTTGGCAGGACTATGTACTAGGATACTCGACCGACGGGGTGGATGAGAAGATGTCAGCGGCTGTGATTCGGGGCTGGATTGGTGTGTATATCAAGGAAGCGGATGAGGCGGTGGCGCGGTTAGAGGATTTGTATATTGCTCAGACGGAGGATCAGGGTGTTATTAGGATGTTGTTGAAGAGGTGGAGGCAGATTAGGGCGCTTTGTGAGGAAGCGATTGATCGGGTGTCTTCATGATATGATATCATTTCTATCTGGGGACGGAGATGTGTATAGAATAAGGAAGGGGTATATTAACTAGTAGTATCAATCGGTTCAAATATAAGTACAGGCATCCATTCTATAAAGACTACAGAATGTCGATCGGGATGGCGCTGGCATCTCGTTGCTTCGACGTGTGCTGCTTGCTCAAAACCAGGTGCTTCATCATGTAGTTCACCACGCACTTGATACCGAGTTCTTCGCCTCTGCGCACGATGTAGCCGTTCAGATATTCGATCTCGGTCGTCTTGCCGGCGCGTACGTCCTGAAGCATCGAGCTGTGGTTCTTCGCTGTCTTGCTGGCAAGCTGAGTAACCATCCAGCGCAGTCGTTCTGGGGAAAATCGGCTTTCGATGCCTGGGATGCCCTGTAGTTCGGGAAGGGCGCAGATCACGCTCGAGATCTCATGGAGGAGCAATCGCGTCACGCGCGTGAAGCTGTAGTTGTAGAGCAGCTCGCCATTTTCGCAGTTCATCACAGCTGTCAACGGGTTGATGACGGCGTTCATCGCCAGCTTCTCGAGCTGGTAGAGCATAAGAGCGGACGGAGTCTCCGCGACAGCAACCAGTGGCGGGGTGAGAGTCATGGTCCGCAGGAGGTACTTGGTGCTTGCAGCCCAGTCATCCTCATTTTCGCTAATCGGAGTTGTCGAGTTCGAGGGCAGGGCCGGTCCGAGAATGGTCGTGCCGATGCCCGTATGGGCGACTTGGAATGGTTCCTTTCTGCGGGCCAGCCCGTGCGAGACAATGCCTTGCATGTAGTTCGGGCGTTTGCGGGGATCAGGGAAGACCTTTTCGTTGAGCTCATCGATGACGCCCATGCCGTTTTGAAGTAGTAGAACTGTGGAGTCGGGTGTCAGGCGATGCTTGACGGACTCCAAAGCCATAGCCGTCACCGGCGCCTTGACACTGACGACCAAGCATTCAATGCGCTCCTCATCTTGGACAGACCCGGTTAGGGAGCCTTCAACATCGCCCTCATCGGTCCGAGCCATGGCTTCCCCGGTCTGGCCGTTTTTATCCCAGTATGGGAATGCATGCCATGCTTTGCCATTCAGGACGTTGACATCGAAGCCCGTCTTGATATCGTCCAATCCATTCGAGTTGATTGCTAAGCACTTTTTTCTCCCCAGCCATGACTTGTACAGATTGGGGTTATGCAAGAGTAGAGTGACAGGCGGAGGTGACGGACGACTTGCGAGAGAGTGGGCAACAAATGTGCCTACATTCCCAAGGCCTAGGATATGTATGCGTCCAGATAGTCGGCGCTTCCCACTGTCTTTCGACGCTTCTTCGGCGTTCTGCATCCAGGTCGATACGAATCGACCATATGATTTGGGGTGCGAACTACGTCTTTTAACAAGACATAATTCGCAGACTGTCGTCCGCCGAAGCGGACTGCGCCCCAGTATGTACGACACTTTGACGGCTGGAGAGTAAATACAGAGAGTCCGAGTTCACGCGCCGTACAAACTGAGAGGTGATGGCAATATAATCACCGTCTCATTATAAGATGAAGCAAATGACAATTGCCCCAAGGACTCACAGTCCTAACAACGATATGCAAACCAACAGGAAGATATAGATCGAGAGTGAGTTCGGCATCGCATGAGGGAGAAGGCGGACAAATAGCTCTTCACCGCCTTGAAGACCGCCCGGAGATAAAAAATCGACATTATCCGCTTCTTTTCAATCCAACATCATCGATTCCTCCCCAGATAATCGTACACATAATCAAAATGGAGGCAGCAGATCTACTTCCGCTGCTCGAGCAGCTGGATGACAACATCGATGATCTTGAAGAGGCTCTGAAGCCCATTCTGGACAGCTCCGTGGTGGAGACGTCGAAGAAGCTTCCAGTGATGGATAAAGCGAAATTCCACGTCTTGGTGACTTACGCGCTGGAGTCTCTTATTTTCTGTACGTCACCATTGCAGCTGGAGCGAGCTTGATTGCTAATTTCTACAGCGTATCTGCGTCTTCACGGCGTCAATGCTAAGGAACACTCCGTGTTTAGAGAATTAACTAGAGTCAAGCAATATTTTGCGAAGATCACCGCGCTCGAAGCGGAGCCGGAAAAGCGTACTCTAACTCTTGACAAGCAGGCTGCCAGTCGCTTTATCAAGCATGGTCTTGTGAGTTACTCTTACACGGCACATTTAGGGGTCGAGGCTAATTGAGTAGGCTGGAAATGACAAAATCGACCTGGCGCGCAAGGAGCAGGAGGCAAAGGAGAGGGCACGCGCTCAGCTAAAGGCATCGATACTGGCTAAAAAAGCAGGTGCTACGTCTCAGCAGTCATCGCAGAATGCGACAAGCAACTCCGAGAGTGAATCCGAGTCCGAGGAGCTTGTGAAGCCCGCACCTAAGCCGTCGGGCAAGAGCTCTGATGATAAGAAGAAGCGCAAGGACAAGCAGAAGAGGAGGGTCAGCAAGGAAGAGCACAATGAGAACAAGAAGGAGCGGAGAAAGAAGAAGGATGATTTGCGCAAGACGAAGAAGTTGAAATGAGGAGGTAGCGATTTATGTCGATCTGCCGGCTGGACCGGTTGAGGGGCTGTCTGTTACTGGGATTGCAGCACTTCAATAACGAGTGACGCGCAACCATCTCAGCAACAGATATTGTCTACAGGCTTGCTGCCACGAAACTACTAAAAGTACACATGGAATGATGATACCCACCGCATAGAGGACAGCCTCAATGAATCTGTTGAAAGACGAGTACAGTGAGGAACCGGGTGCATGCTATGGTCACAGTAGACCTGGTGTAGGAACGGACAAAGTCTTCCATGGACTACTATACGATTCGAGTCATTTAGTCAAAGCAGTGGCAAGTGACTGACAGCGAGAGAATGTTCATGCTCAGCCCTGTGGATCATGGCGATGCAGTGAGTCACTGCCGGAGTTAAGCAGAACATGTGCGGATAACTTCAGATCCACTGGTCTGTAAGACTCGAACGTCGTCTCCACTAAGTAGTGAATATCACATCCACTAGCAATAAAACAATCCAAAAAGACAATAATAATATATCCCTCAATTTCCATTCTAAATCCATCCATCCTCGGCATTAAAGCAACGATCAACCGTAAGCGCCGGGACCGGCAGCTGACCTAACGTCCGAAGCACCCAATCAGGAACGGGAGAATAACCAGGGCGATCGGAGTTTTCGAACTTTCTCCGCCCGACTTTCGAGCTTCTTCTTTTCCGACTATAAAACAACTCTCTCCACCCGCTTCCCAACACTGTAACTCACATACAACATCCACACCTACACCTCTCCCTTAACCACCCTCCTCACAACCACAAAAACAACACACAAAATGCCTCGTCAACGCCGTGGTGCCGCCCCTACTCCCGCGCGCAGCGCTCCCACCCGCCCTACCGCTGCTCCCGCCAGACCTGCTGCCGCCCCTTCTTACGGCCAGCAACAGCCTCACTCCACTGCTGCTCACCCCCAGCAGCACCACGCTCCCCCTCCGGCTGCTGCCCCCGCTGCCACTCCCGCCGCTGCTCCCGTTCAGCAAAGCCAGGGCCCCGGTCTCTTCGGCCAGATGGCCTCGACTGCTGCGTACGTTGCCACACATACATCCCATACCCTCAAACACCACCCACCTAGGAACCAAAAAGCTAACCCATGTATAAAAACAGTGGTGTCGCCGTCGGCTCCTCCATCGGCCACGCCATCGGCGGAATGTTCTTCGGCGGTGGTGGCGGCTCCAGTGCCCCCGCTGAGGCTCCCCAGCAGGCTGCGCCGGCTCCCGCTCAGGCCATGGACAACGGTCTCTGGGCTGGAAACGCTACCAACAGCTCTTGGGAGGCGCCGGCTTGTGCCACGGATGCGCAGAACTTCCGCAAGTGCATGGATGAGAACAAGGGTGATTTGACGATCTGTGGATGGTACTTGGATCAGCTGGTAAGATCTATTCCTTTTTGCCCTTGTGGAGGGTGGTATGGTGGGTGATTGTGGACATATGCTAATGGGTATTGTGTTTATAGAAGGCTTGCCAGGCTGCTGCTAAGCCGTACTAGAGTGGGTTTTTGGTGATTGATGAATGATTTATGGATGGGCATATATGCATAGTGGTGGATTAGCCCGTTATTTCTCTCTTATTTTACTTTATTATCTATTACCCCCTTGTATAACATATACCACTTTGGAAGTTATTACCCTTATTTTATTGGGTCAGCTATGTCTGTGATGGGCATGCATGAACAGGAACTGAAAATATAGATAAAAAAGGATCATTCCACTCTTCATGTGTTTGTTTCATTCGTTTGGTTATGGTACTTAGATTTGTAGATGATAAATGATAATATATAGGCTTATATCATTCTCATAGAGGTACATACATGCTTCGCTGCAAGCAAAGGAAGTAGTAGGAGTTTGATACATACATAGCAGGAACTCCAGTACATTGCACTAGAACATGGCTCACTATCGTCTGTCTCCATCATTTCGAGGCTGAAAGTTCAACTATACACAACCGTTAGCATATGAACACCCATCTTTAACATCAGTACTCACCTGATTCCCATTATAAAACTGCCGATCATCCCCCTCATTCTGCGCATCCCTCAACGTCCGAATAATTGGTCCTCTGGAGGCGTTCACCCGTCTGCGTCCCGCATCATGCGGCCCCGACGAAGCCGTGCTAGCAGCCGGCGTAGTTTCATTACCCGACGACTGCGTCGTTCCATACCCAAAGAACGATCCCACAAGTCCCGTCGCAGTACCAACCGCAGACGACACCAGTCCGTAGGCAGACGACACAGCTCGGACCGGCAAGCTCGCGCCCGCACCGGAATATGCCTCCGTGTAGGACTGGATCGGAACCATGACCAGGTTGGCGGAGCTGCCGAGTCCCAGCTCGGCTAGGGTTTGCTCCTCGTCGGCGATGGTGAGGGTGCGATTCGGGAGAGGCGTCAGGATGTGTTTGAGGTTGTAGGGGCTGCGCTCTTCCATCTGACCGTCAAGCCAGGGACGAACGTCGTTGCGGATAGTCTGGGTGGGAGTGAAGCTGGAGCGCACGGAGCTGCCGTCGAAGAGACGCACTTGGAGACGGTATTGCTTCGGAGGGGAGGGTGGGCGCCGTTCAGCGGGTTGGGTGGCGGGCTCTTTGGGCGTGACGGAGGATGGCTTCTCTTTGGGGGTGGGCTTAGATTTGGGCTTGCTCTCTTGTGTGACTGGTCGGGGAGTGGGCTTAGATGCTGGCTCTTGCTTCTGTTGTTGGAGTTTCTTGGTTGGGGACGGACGTTGTTGCTCGGCTCGCGCATCATCGACTCGTCTCTTTCCTTCACGAATAGCTGCATCGCGGGGTTGCTCTGGCTCAGTTGTGGAGGGCTGGGGTGCAGGCTGAGACGGAGCTGGTGTGGGAGCTGGCTCTGCAGCAGGCGCTGGTGCCGGTACAGGCGCAGAAGACACAGGTTCCGGCGCAGGAGGAGACACAGTCGCAGGAGCATCAGAATCCACAGGCGCAGAGGGAACCTCACCACCACCAGCATCTGCACTCCCTACATCCTGCTGCACCGGTGCGCGACTCTCATCCAGCTTCACAAGTAGGCGATCGCGAAAGTCCTCCTTGGAAATATCCGGCACGAGGTAATCGCACATCATACCATTCCTGCGACGGTCAACAACTTCCCTAACCCAAGTAGTGGAGCACATACTTTATCACGACGACGGTAGGAAACTTGACGATGGGACAAAAAGAGGCCAGAAAGCCCGCTTCCTGACTACCTTTGGTGAAGCGCAAGAGGACAGCTCTCGATTGGAGTAGTTGCGATAACTGCGCAGCGTTAGCAGACGCAGGAACATCTGTATACAATGTGTTGAATACCTCCTCATCAAACGTAAAGTAGCTCTCCTCCCATTCTGTGCTCGTCTGCTCGTCATCTAAGTAGCCGTGTCAGTACTGCGGAGTATCGCCGAGCTCCAGCATCCCTCCATTCAATGCCTGTAGAAAGGAAGAACAAACCTCTAACGAAGCAAACGACAGCCTTGCTCTCAGCGACCGCCGCAGCGATACCCTCCTGTAAGCTCCCAGTATAGAACATCTTGCGTCTTGCTTCCCGAGTATGTGAAATAGACAAGTGACAATGAAGCTAGTGGTTACGGAGCTACCGACTGACACCCGCAATCGATAAGCCGACAATCCGCATCGGCGGAAAAGACCCCGTCCCGACCCGCTCTCTTTTAATCTTCCACTGGCACTTTCAATCCCCAACTGCATCCAACTCAATCAATCACACCAGAAACCACACACAACAGCGCGCAAAATGCGCTCCCTCCTCTCCGTCCTCTCCAGGACGGGCACAAGGACCACCCCCCTACGCCCCGCATCCTCAATTCTGCGCACCGCCCTCAACAGAACAGGAACAGCAGCAGGACCGGACTCCCTCTGCACGCGCTGCCTCCGCCGAACCAACAACACCACCCAGCTTCGCTTCTACAACAACAACCAATTCAACGACGACCAGCGCTGGCTCTCCGTCGTCGACGCCCCCTCGCAAGTTGTCCGCACAGGCCGGAAACATGGTCCGGGACTGATTCTTCTCGGTGCGCCATACCCATCCCACCGACCACAACCACAAACTAAAACTAAACTAACATACATACAATGCAGCACTCATCCCCATAATCTCCTTCGCCCTCGGAACATGGCAAATCCAACGTCTAGAGTGGAAAACCAACCTAATTGCCAAATTCGAAGACCGACTAATCAAGCCCCCACTGCCTCTACCCCCGCGGATCGACCCGTCCGCGATCTCCGAGTTCGATTACCGTCGGGTCGTCGCGACGGGCACACTCCGACATGATCAGGAGATGTTGGTGGGTCCGCGCATGCGAGAGGGCCAGGATGGGTTCTTTGTGGTGACGCCGCTGGAGCGCGAGGGTGGGAGTACGGTGTTGGTGAATCGGGGGTGGATTAGTCGGAAGATGAAGGACAAGAGGGATAGGTTGAGGCAAGGGGAGGGGAGGGCGTTGCCGGAGGGGGAGGTCGTGGTGGAGGGGTTGTTGAGGGAGCCGTGGAAGAAGAATATGTTTACGCCGGATAATGTGCCTGCTGAGGGGAAGTTTTATTTCCCTGATATTGAACAGATGGCGGAGTTGACGGGGAGTCAGCCTGTTTGGATTGAGGAGACTATGGGTATGTTGTTCTTCCTTCTTTTATTTCATTGGTTTGGGTATTGGATGATGAAGCTAATCTATGATTGTGGATCAGTCCCCGATATGGTCGAGGCGATGGATCGCGAGGCCAAGGGTATCCCTATTGGCCGTGCTGCTGAAGTCAACCTCAAGAACAACCACAGCCAGTATATCTTTACGTGGTATGTTGCATTCCCCCTTTCCTCCCCGGACGCGGTATAGAACCCTGGCTGACGACCGCAGGTACGGCTTGTCGCTGGCAACATCCATCATGCTGTGGATGATTATCCGCAAGCGTCCCAACGAGGCTACTCGGCGTGTGCGCCATAACCGCAACTGGTAGTGGCTCGTGTCCCCGCATGCTGGACGGCGTTTGGACTTGTATCTATAGGAATGTATATTGTATCATCATGGTGGCATTGCCAATCTCATATCTTGCAACAGCTCCTTGGGCAGATGCTTTTGCGCCAGCGAGAAGATCGTGGTGGACTGGTTAACATGCCGTTGCCTATTGAATTAGTATCCGTGTAGAAGAACAGCAGAGTGACTGAACTTACCGCCGCATCAAGGTTGCCACATCGCTCTCGTCGATGGTCTTGCGCCCCGCGTGCTTGGAATACGCAGCCAGATCCTCACTTGCCTGCTCGAAGTACCACGATGAAGCCTGCTCAATCGCAGCCAGTGTCTCCTTGCTGATCTTGGCTTTTGACCCGTTCCGCGCCCGCGCAAACCGGGTGGCCAGCTTCTTCACGACTCCGACGGGAAGGTTGGGCACGGGAATGCCATGTCGGGAGAGCTTCTTCTGTTTCGCGCCGGAGACGTAGCGGTCCTCGTCCCGCAACCCTCCTCCGGCAATACCTGGACTTTGGCTCTCACTCAGTGCCACCGGAGCGGGCGGCGGCGATTGCAGTTCCATGCCAAAGTCGCCAGCAGCGATGGACACACTGTCTGCATCATCAGACCCTGCTCCAGTGTCCATTGGCATGTCCATCGAGAGCTCAAACCCTTCGTCGTCATGGATGGGCTCATCCTGGTCCAATTCTGCGCCAGGAGCAGGCGGCGACGGGAAATTGAACTCGAAGTTGAACCGTCCAAGATCTTCCGTTTCACCTCTGTATGTTCGTTAGCAGACAGATCGCCCCAGCTGTGCATAGAACTCACCCTCCATCAAAGTCCCCTTGCGTAAGAATCGTATCTTCACCTCCATAATCACCATGTACAATCCCCGTATCATCCCCATCTTCACTCTCACTCTCTAACCCAGTCGCCGCCCCAATCTCACTCATCCGCGGGCCACCCACACTCATCATCGATAATCTATTTCGATCACGTTCACTCGTGGCCCGTCGAGGATACTCCACCGTTATATCTTCCTCCTCAAACGCCAAGGACAGCCGGGGTGGGTGCATCTCCGGCTCCTCATCTACCTCCTCCACCTCATCGAGCGGCAGCGACAAACGAGGGCGCTCAATTTCGGGCTCATTATCTAATTCCTCGATTTCATCTCTCTCCGGTTCTGGCTCTGGCGAAGACTCTACTTGCTCCTGCGGCGAAGATTGTATAGGCTGGGTGGTCGGGGCAAGGGCTTTCCCCAGGTTCCGGAGGATATCGAATGTCGTCTCGCGCTGGATCCGCCCGCTTCGTCTACGATCGCGTCCGGGCGTATTCGCGGCGCGTCGCTGCAGCGCCTGCACTCGATACGGCGTGGATGGCGCGCCGGCGCCCCTGTTTCGCGGGGTGTATCGGTTCGCGGAGGGGGTGGTGGATGCGAATCGGCTGGGAGTGAGGGGGTATTTCGTGTGAGCGGGGAGACGTTGCAACTGGCTCTGGTTAGTAGGTACAAGATGATTTAATACAAAGAAAGCAGCTTACCCCTGTGAGT